TATTATTATTACTATTACATTTACATAAGCTAGACTCAGTAGACATGCAGTACTGACCAAATACTGTTACAGTATTGGGTTTGGTCCTGTTTCAGAACCATCTTCTCTACTGGTTTTTGATTTGATTTCTACAGCTTATGAGTATTGGAGTCATCACCCCTCTAGAAGAGGAGGTGATGCTAGAGGCACAGCCAGGTCATAGGCACTGTGTCAAGGTGCTTCTCTGTCTACTCCTATAACTATGGTCCAGTGAAAGAGAAGAGAAACAAAAATGGATTGGATTGAATTGCTTTTTATGCACAAAAGAAGAAAAGGAAACTCAATAGACCTATATTGCAGGCAAGGGTGTGTGACATCACTCTCTTGACTGGACTGTTTGTGATAAAGTCCGGTGTCATGGCGGCAGCATTTTTCATTGGTTGGTGGAACTAGGATTACCTAAGAGTAACCTAATATTCAGTTTGAATGATAACCGTAGGACAGGCTTGCAAATCATACCTTTCTAAAACTGTAAACTAATGGACTCAAAATATGAACCTGCCTTATGATTTTTAAATATTTATATTTAGTTTTGTCTTTAAGTCTTTAAGGCTAACACTTCTGAGTAATTTTAGACCTGAACCATCTAGTAGAGTATTGTTGCAGATGAGGTCTGTATTGCAATGGTGAGATAACAAGGTCAATGGAAAAAATAACAAAAAAAGTTGTAGATTTCCATCAACCGATCTCTTTTTCTGTAGACAATAAGGTCCTCCTTGATTATGATTGTTGTTAGAGCAAAGCAAAATACTGCTTTGTGCCATGTTCCTGTTCCAAAAGAATACCTTAATTTCTAATTTTTATAAAATGATGAAAACAGAGTGATTCATCTAGAAAGTAAGCTCTAGCTTTGGACAAAGGCCAGCTGTTCAAAATACCCTTACTGACGGTACAGATGAGGCAGTGACAGACAGTTACTCCCATGTGATATTACAGGACACACATGCACATTTTCTCTGGCTTATCTTTTTAAAGAAAACATTCCTTTGGGTAATATTAATTTTCAACTTAGAATAACCCTTATGTTATGTAATGACAGTAAATGAAAATCTGTTATAAAGATTAAAGCACAAGGTTAATGTACCGTCAACTACATGACATTGTATTTCTAATGCAGACAGACTGATTAATCTCCTCTTTATATAACATTTAATATTAATATACATGTTTTTAAAGCTTTTGTTTTCCAGTTGTTGTCAGGATGGTTTGAAAACATGTTACAAAACTATTATACTGTAAATGTATCAAAATGAAATAAATATGCAATTTTTATAGAAAACTTTCCTATATCAGAACAATATTTCCACATAAAGCTGCGTGTCTGAATCTTTGTAAAGATATAGTTAATAATTACTTAAATTTTTCCCCCAAACTGAGTGTGGAGCAGAAAAATCTCAATTAATTGCAAATATTTCAGAAAACATCAGAACTGACATTTCATGCAGGAGTTGTGACTTCATTATGAAGTACGTTAAAACATCATGGCAAACGTAATGTCTGTGCCATCAAGTGATCTTTTTATGAGGAAAAAGTCATGAATGTATCAAGATAATATTAAAAATGATGGTAGTACATTTTAAAATGTAATATTTAAAAAAGCTTCACAGTGCACATGCCAATAATGGATTTGCTGCACGAGACTCTTCTGGAAAGACAGTGCTTATTTTTCATACTCTCATTATGTCATTGTAGCTTGTTGACCTAATTGACCCTGCAAGTCAAATTATCGTTTCATTCATTCATACTTTGAGCATCAGTGAAATGCACATCTTGGCTGGTCGTCAATGGTATGTAGCACCTATATCAAGAGTGTTATATACTTTCAAAGACAGCCTTCCGCCTTCTAACAAGGCTCCATTAGAGAACAACTGCTACAAAAACGTCTGCATAGATGCAATCCTTAAATTTATCCTTAAGAAAGGGACAACTGAAATCAGTAGGAAAGGGTAGGGAAGAAGGTACTAAATTTAATTATTTACGAACTAATGAGCTACTATTTATAATTTCATCATACAACATACAGATGTACAGTTGAGTACCTATAGAGAACGTTATAGAAAAAAAACAGAACTATCAGGTGTTTTAGATGGAACAAGCACATACCTTTTACAGTTAAATGAATCTGTATTGTCCGTGGGGTATGCTGACTTTGGACAGAACAAGTGTATTGTCCATCGTCGGTAACATCCACTTTCTTTATCTGAAGGCTGTATTCCCGTTTACTTCCAGAGCCTGACACAATTGATACACGAGGATCTACTGACCACTTATCATCCCCTGCAAAAATGATACTGGAACGGTTCAGCCAGGCTCCTTTTGACTGGCCATCTGAAAGGTAGCACCTGAAAAGAACAAGAAATTACTTAGAGAATTGGTTTTATTTCTATCTTTTGAGAACTTGCATAGGTCAAAGCTAGAACAGTTTTTCTTCATAATTGACTAATGTTTAATGCTTTACTGAAGGTGTTGATGCAATGAAACACTTATTATTGACTTTCTAAATCTAAACAATGAATAAAAAAAATAATTTGCAAAATCAGGGACATGATTAGAACCATCTAGTTCATTTGGATTTTAATAAGTAATAGGGCTGATAATTTCATCCTGCCACTTCTTGAAAGTACCAATGGTATCAATGTGATAACTTCTTATAATATAGCTGGCTATATTACCTATATATGTATTTTTTAGTCTGATAGATAAAACTTGTAAGATTTTGTCTGGCTCTTCTGCAAGCAAAATTGTGACAAGAAATGTTTAATGGATAAGAATGTGTTTAAAATCTGTATGCCGTATTTTTGTCACATAGGAAATACAATTGAAGAACTGTAAGTGTACAGAAATGCCAAGTACATACTTACCACTATTAAGTGGATTGATATTGTTGGCAGAATTATATATTTACAATATCAAACCAAAAGCCTACACAATTGACTTTATCTCCTTTTAATCCACAAAGAAAAGAAATAAACAAAATGCTGCCAGCTATTTCCATCAGGAACACTGCAAGATGTTAACCATTAACACAAAGGAAAAGTGCCTGATAAAATATTGTATGACTCATTAACACATGAGTTTTTCATTTTTTATTTATTATCAGTATTTATTGAAAATGTTTAACAGCATCTATAAACAAGCAAATAAAATGGACTTTGAGCTCCTTTTTTGGATTAGCTGTGGGCACAGGAGAAACAAGAAAATCAGAATCAACAGAGCCCCAGATAGACATCTAACACATACAGATCCAGCCATTCAGAATGCACGGTGGATAATGCAATACATTGTGGTAGATGCAGGCTACTGCACTTTTAAAAAAATATTTAGTTGTCGGACTATACTACTTTGTAAATAAGCTTAATGTACCATGTGAAAGCATATGGGCTATAGCCAGAAAACGCCTGGTCTCAAATCCTGGTTAATGCTGAGGGACAATCTTTTTTCCAATGATAGAATTAAGTTGTATACTGATTAGAATTTTAATCATTTTAAACCGTGTATTACAGCATGTTACACATTAAACTGATTAAAAAGTAGGTATATTTTATAAAAGCAAGATTGCTCAGTTGGACAAAAGTACACAACTGTATTCCACCTTCTTCATAAATATTTTATGCGTCATAGTCTTTAAAGTGGTGACTTACAGTGGGTTAGGGTTTTAACGTGCTTGTTCTAACATTATGAAGTTTATTTACTGTATTTAAAAATTAAAATGATATAAAGTTATAACGTTTTATCTTTTTTCTAAGAATACGTACTAAGAATACCATTTTTATTGTAAAAAAAGTTTTGCTGATTTAGTACCACTTGATATACCACTTGATAGTTATATTAATATGAAATCGTGTAACTAAGCAGCTTAAATATCACAAGTGGACATTTTGGAAACATTTTGACATTTTTAACTTTTATTGTCCTTATAGTAGTAATGGGCAATGGACTGTAATAAAGCACGCTACACTTAGGCTGTTCAAAACCTGATCCGAGAATGACTTTAGGATTGTTTTTTACATAGCTGAACATAAAAATAGTCCACTGTTATAGCTTGTTGTGAACACAGTGTGTCTTTTTCATGTTTACATCCAAATTGAGAAAATCTTTATGTTGTCTTAATCTAAATTTTAGCAGCCAGTAATCAGCCAATTATTTAACTTTAAACTGTTTATTGTACTGTACAGTACTGTGCAGTCCAAAGGCTTATACTTGGAGGTTGTTTCTGGCAAAATTGGCTCAGGCATGAGTGTGTGTATCTGGATGAATTATTATATGTGATAGTTTTGTGTTTTAGGATTAGGATTTCACAGAATTCTTTAAGTTAAACAAAGGATGGAAGAAGGGTTATTTTTACAATTGCCAGTAACCAGAGAACAGCTTTTCAATATGTTGAAACCATACTATAATAGTGAAGACAGACATGTTAAACCTTTGAGCCAGTGACTCTATTGTTTACCAATTTACAGTCTAGATGCCAATGTTCTTGTTATATGAACAAGAATAAGCACTCCCTTATTAAACTCAGAGATCCTGACTGATTTGACTTTATATTCATTCATTTACCGGAAATGGAAAAATAAATAATACAGTAGTTAAATTTATCGGTGGGTGCTCTGTTTTATTAACAGACACACCGACTCAAACCTGTGTTGTACAGTGATATAGACATGGGTAATGTCATCCCCATTAAACAATGTGCTTATAGCACTAATTCTGTTAAACTAGAAGCATTGCAGAAGGTGATATACTGTACATTATTTACCGTAGCATGGGTTAGTTCAAAGAAGGTAGTCAGTGAAGTCCCCCTGTTTATTGGTACCAAACACTAATGGGACGATATGGTTCTGTACAGAAAAGTGAAAACTGAAACTCCACTAGCCATCGTATGTACTGTTTAACCGTAAGCCATGGACTGATGTGCTGTTCCCTTTTGTTATAGGGTTATTCCCTGGAAATTAGACACAAGAAGGACATTGTTGAACATTGTATCCCTTTCTCAGTGTAACATCTGTTATGTTCCCAGTAAACCGAGAGACCAAAACCCGCTATGAGTAAAATTTGCCTTGCGACATTTCTCGGTGCCCCAAAGTCAGGTGCAGAGTAAAATCCTCTAAACTTACACCACAATTACCCGTAATACAAACTGCAGTACTGTAATAGTGACAGTGACTATTAGGAATGTGTATTGATGGAGAGTGAAATTAAAGCCCACTTCCCTTCCCTCTTCTGTGAGGTGATATTGCCTAGCTGGCTGGCACAAAACAATCCCTTCTTTCCAAGTATCCTGGAGAGGGTCTGGAGGTTCATTCATTCATCTTATTACTAAAAGACCTACTGACCTGGTTCACACCACTGGTAGAGGGGAGAATGTGATGTTTTGTGTATGAAACACATGTTGTATTTACAGAATTCAATTGTTTTAAACATTTAATTAAAAAGTAAACAAAAAACTTACAGCTTACACAAAGTTTCTAAGGTGATCACGAGAAAGAAAAATCACCCGTTTTCCTGCATTAAAAGTATTTTTGCTATCAAACCTGTATATTTGTGGCTTTTAAAGTCATGCAATGTCTACATTAGGCAGGGACATTTTTGGTTCTTATTTCTTATTTAACAATTAAAAGAATCAGTTGCCCATCATGCCATACAATATTATGTTACATTTTTTATATAACGCTTCAACTGATGCATAAAAATGTAGCATAATGCAATCTCGTATTGTGAACTTGCTTATCTGTGCTTTAAATTGTGGATCGGTCAAAAGACTGGAGTTCATCCTACATGTTGTATTTCCACGATTATTACTTAATCATATGGACAATGACATAGGAGCGTAGTCCGAAAAATCAATTCTACCAATATCACAATGTTGAATCCTATGTCTATCTGTCTTGTATTTAAAAAATAATCAGTCCTTGAATATACAGAATGAGGGAAGGAATAGTGAGTGTAATCACACCCACTTTGATAGAAATCTCTCCAAAGATCTATTATTCCCATTTCCCCCATCAGTAAATTAATCTTTTTATGCAATGACTTAGCCCTCTGAGAAGATATATTTGTAGAATCAAACCTAGGGTTAAGACGCACATTCCAATCACCTCCACAAATCAGTATGCCTTATGCATTAGCCATCAAGTCAAACATTTTTTAATAACAAATTAAATCACTACTACTGTAGGTGGGGTATATACATTAAGCAATGTTAGTAATTTCCCTTCCATTTTCCACAATACTAGTACATATCTCCCATCCTTATCTTTAACTTCTGTAAGCAACTCAAATTGAGCCTTTTGAGATATCAGTATAGCCACTACTCTCCTATTGCCAGATTTATATGAGGAGAAATAGATTTTTGAGAAATCCATCCTCCTTAATTTTTCATGCTCCAATACACTCAGATGTGTTTCTTGTAAAAACAAAAATGAGCCCCTTCTTTCTTCATTTTTGACAAAATCTTACATCTCTTAATAAGGTTAATTATTCCATTAACATTAAATGTAATTACTTTAATGTCTTGCTTGAACATATTTTATGTAAATAGTAGAACTTTCAAACTATCTCCCATAAGACATATGTTTCATATTGTTAAGCATCATCTATCCATCAATTTTCTCTAGCAATACATCACAAACAAAAATCACAATAAGCAAAAATATTAACTGAACACTCTTAAAAAACGGTATCCATCTCTGTCTTATTCACATTACTTTCTTCCAGCTGTGAGGCTCTTTTCAAATGAAGCCTGTATGAGCTTCTTTTAAAAAAAAGTCAATTGGGGAACTGTAATGTAGAGAGCTGCACCCAGGTGGTTCAAAGCATGATCGGAGCATTACTTTCAGTCTGTTTCTCATATAGCCGAATGCATAAAAATAGTCCACTATTATAGCTTATTATGAACATGATGTGTCTCTTTCAGGTTTACATCCGAATTAAGAACATCTATATTTTGTCTTAATCGAAATAATCAAACCCAGTAATCATCCAAAAATTTAACTTGGAATAAAAAAAAAAAATAAATGTACTATGAACCTGGTCTGTCAGCGTCATTCAACAGGGAACCAGGTGGATGAATTATTATACATGATGGTTTTATGTTTAAGGATTACTTCACAGGAATCTTTAGGGAGGGGGAAGGATTATTTTTTACAATTGCCAGTAATCAGGGAACAACTTATCAACATGATGGACAAACATTTTTTTTTATTTTAAAAACAAAATAAAAAATAAGATACAATGACGTGTTCTTGCCTAACTCAAACATCGCATGATTTTAAAAGTTGTAAAAAATGAGTTTAGTTAAAAACCACTTTTTATGCACGACAAACAGGTGATTTTTCTTCCTCGTGAT